TTCACACCTTCTCATCTTCACATCTGCTCATCTTCACATCTGCTCATCTTCACATCTTCTCTCACATCTGCTCATCTTCATATCTCCTCTCACATCTTCTCTCACATCTTCTCTCACATCTTCTCTCATCTGCTCATCTTTCTTCATATCTTCTCTCACATCTTCTCTCACATCTGCTCATCTTCACATCTGCTCATCTTCACATTTGCTCATCTTCACATCTTCTCTCACATCTGCTCATCTTCACATCTTCTCTCACATCTGCTCATCTTCACACCTTCTCTCACATCTTCTCACCTTCACATTTTCTCTCCTTTCTCTCTCCTTTTTCTCTCCCTCGCCTTCTTTATCTTTTTCTCTTTAGGCCGAGGGTGGTGCCGGCGGCGAGTCACGAAACGTCAACCCTTTCGCACGAAATGAGGGTCGATCGGCAAAAACTGAGGTAAAATTGCGATTTGACTTGTGCTGGAGCAACGCTTTCGCACGAAATGAGGGTCGATCGGCAAAAACTGAGGTAAAATTGCGATTTGACTTGCCCCGGAGCAACCCTTTCGCACGAAATGAGGGTCGATCGGCAAAAACTGAGGTAAAATTGCGGTTTGACTTGTGCCGGAGCAACCCTTTCGCACGAAATGAGGGTCGATCGGCAAAAACTGAGGTAAATTTGCGATTTTACTTGTGCTAAAGCAACCCTTTCGCACGAAATGAGGGTCGATCGTCAAAAACTGAGGTAAAATTGCGATTTTACCTGTGCCGGAGCAACCCTTTCGCACGAAATGAGGGTCGATCGGCAAAAACTGAGGTAAAATTGCGATTTTTCGTGTGCCGGAGCAACGCTTTCGCACGAAATGAGGGTCGATCGGCAAAACCTGAGGTAAAATTGCGATTTTTCGTGTGCCGGAGCAACGCTTTCGCACGAAATGAGGGTCGATCGGCAAAAACGGAGGTAAAATTGCGATTTTTCGTGTGCTGGAGTAACTTTCTCGCACGCAAAGAGGTTTATGTGTACGAGCGTTTCTGTGTAGAGATGTTTGTGTGTAAAAGTGTTTGTGTGTACAAGTGCATCTGTGTAAAAGTGTTGTGTGTAAAACCTTCTGTGTGTAAAAGTCTGTGTGACGGGTTTGTGTGTACGAGTGTTTCAGTGTAAAGATGTTGGTGTGTATAAGTGATTGTATGTAATATTCCATCTGTTTAAACGTGATTGTGTGTAAAAGCTTCTGTGTGTAAAACGTGTTTGTGTGTAAACGTGTTTGTGTTTTGGAGTGTTTCGGTGTAAAGATGTTTGTGTGTAAAAGTGTTTGTGTGTACAAGTGCATCTGAGTAAAAGCAATTGTGTGTCAAAGCTTTTGTGTGTAAAAGTGTCTCTTTGTAAAAGGGTTTGTGTGTAAGAGTGTTTCTGTGTAAAGATGTTTGTGTGTAAAAGTGTTTCCGTGTAGAAGTGCATCTGTGTAGAAGTGTCTGTATGTAAAAGCTTTTGTGTGTAAAAGTGTCTGTGTCTAAAAGGGTTTGTGTCCAGATCTTCTTTCGCGCAGATGTGTGCATGTTTGCTTGACTTGTTTATGGTTTCGCATGCTTATTTTCCGGTCACCCCTGTCATGTTTCAGGCCTGGCTTACATGTTTTGATTTCTTGCCCCATTGATTGTTTGGCATGTTTGTTATCCGGTCATCTCTGTCATGTGCAGGTCTTGGCGGCGAGTGTTAAGAAATCCTGACTTGTTTGTTTGGCATGTTTAGTAGGCATGTTTAATTTCACCCCCAAAGAGATATGAATGGATTAATGAGGTTGTTTCGCATGCTTCTTTTCCGGTCACCCCTGTCATGTTTCAGGCCTGGCTTACATGTTTTGATTTCTTGCCCCATTGATTGTTTGGCATGTTTGTTATCCGGTCATCTCTGTCATGTGCAGGTCTTGCCGGCGAGTGTTAAGAAATCCTAACTTGTTTGTTTGGCATGTTTAGTAGGCATGTTTAATTTTACCCCCAAAGAGATATGAATGGATTAATGAGGTTGTTTCGCATGCTTCTTTTCCGGTCACCCCTGTCATGTTTCAGGCCTGGCTTACATGTTTTGATTTCGTGCCCCATTGATTGTTTGGCATGTTTGTTATCCGGTCATCTCTGTCATGTGCAGGTCTTGCCGGCGAGTGTTAAGAAATCCTGACTTGTTTGTTTGGCATGTTTAGTAGGCATGTTTCATTTTACCCCCAAAGAGATATGAATGGATTAATGAGGTTACACTGGGATTCACTCATTTTAGGCATCGGTTTGCATGGAGTCAGGGCCCCGGGATGGGATGGATTACATGGATAGGCAGGCTGCTACCACAAAGAGACAAATCGATATATTTTATATTGAGATAGAGCTAGAGATATGATATAAAGATGGATGTATGACTGTTAATATCTAGAGATGGATGTATGAGTGTTAAGATTAGAGTTTCCATTCCAGTCACAGTCAGGAGTCAGGACCCTAAACCCAAAAAGAACCAACTTATATTATATTGTAGTACTGTGTGTGTCCCAGCCCAGAAACGGTCGCCGCCTGCCAGGTCCGCCCGTTTATACTTCTTTTTGGGGAGATGGCAAACCACCTTGGTTGGGGGGCCCCAAAGCACATAGCCCTCATGACATGTTCATGGATGCTGGTTTCGAGTCACATGGAAATAGGACTTCGCCGCACCACCCCGTCGGATTGCTGAGGTGGCCACGACAACGATGACTTCGCTGTGCGTACATGGGCCGGCCTGTGTGTAAAAGCGTCTGTGTGTACAAGTGATTGTGTGTAAAAGCGCTTGTGTGTAAAACCGTCTGTGTGTAAAAGCGTCTGTGTGTAAAAGTGTTTCTGCGTAAAAGTCTTTGTATGTAAAACCGTCTGTGTGTAAAAGTGTCTGTGTGTAAAGGCTTCTGTGTGTAAAAGCGTCTGCGCGTAAAAGCGTCTGTGTGTAAAAGTGTTTGTGTAAAAGTGTTTGTGTGTACAAGTGCCTGTGTGTAAAAGCGTCTATGTGTAAAAGCTTCTGTGTGTACAAGCGTTTGTATGTAAAAGCAGCTCCTGTGTGTAAAGGCTTCTGTGTGTAAAAGTGTCTGTGTAGAAGCGTCTGTGTGTAAAAGCTTCTGTATGTAAAAGCTTCTGTGTGTAAAAGCTTCTGTGGGTAAAAGCTTCTGTGTGTAAAAACTTCTGTGGGTAAAAGCTTCTGTGTGTAAAAGCTTCTGTGGGTAAAAGCTTTGTGTGTAAAAGCCTCTGTGTAAAAGCGTCTGTGTGTAAAAGTGTTTGCGATGCAAACTATTGTCTTGCACTTCTCACTATTTTGTCTTGATACTCCTCTTCTCGACTGCCTATAACACAGCTTTCATATATCGTTTCTAAAATTGCATCTCCATACTAACAAGAGAAGACCCTGCTCCTCTACGCTCTCGGGCCATCCGTCGTCTAGTTTTTTGTTTGTTTGGGCGTTTTGTCGTTTGCGATAATAGTCACTCCACTACACTCCACTACACTACATTACACTACGCTACACTACACTACACTACACTACATTCCACTACACTACACTACATTACACTACACTCCACTACGCCACACTACAACTACACTACACTACAACTACACTACACTACATTACACTACACTACACTACATTACATTACACTCCACTACATTACACTCAATTACACTACACTACATTACACTACACTACGCTACGCTACACTACGCTACGCTACGCTACACTACACTACACTACACTACACTACACTACACTACACTAACTACAACTACAACTACAACTACAACTGCAACTGCAACTACAACTACAGCTACAACAATACTACATTTACACTACGCTACACTACACTACACTACACTAATTACACTGCACTACACTACACTCCACTACACTACGCTGAATAACACTGCGCTACACCTACAACTACAACTGCAACTGCAACTACAACAATACTACATTTACACTACGCTACACTACACTCCACTAATTACACTACACTACACTACACCCCACCACGCTACACTGAATAACACTGCACTGCACCTAAAGCTGCAACTGCAACTGCAACTACACTACATTACATTAGACTACACTAATGACATTACACTACACTACACTACACTACACTGCGCTACACTACACTACACTACACTACACTACACTACACTACATTACACTACGTCACACTAACTACAACTACAACTATATAAGACTACACTACACTACGCTACACTACACTACACTAATTACACCACACTGCACTACACGACAGAGAGAGAGAGAGAGAGAGAGAGAGAGAGAGAGATAGATGGATGCATAGAGATAGGTGGGTAGGTAGGTAGATGGTCAGAGAAAGAGACAGAAAGAGAGAGAAAGAGAAGAGACCTCATCCACCTTTCGGTCCATCAGTGGCTTCGCTCTGCCATCCGTGATTCACAACAACCAACCTCTCCTATAGGTTTTCTATTTTTGAAACTTCCGCCACCGCCTTGTGCGGTACTACTGGTAGTTGGTGATTTTTGTGAAAACATTTTGGGCGAAATATTTGGACGGAGTCTTGCAACCACAATGGTGAACAAGATAAGGACATTGCGGGAAAGATACTGACAGATAATGCGGCAGCACGTGCTGGAGTTCTTTGTTTCAAAATTCGAATCATATGTATTTTTTGGGATGTGGATCACAGATGCGATGCGTTAGGGCATGTTTGTTGATTGGGATCTTAAATCGTTGCCCCAAACATAGAACAAACGCAATTCGATCCTTTTTACCTTCTAGAACAAACAATTTGCAGGATTCTTGTCTGTTTTGCGACGAAAAACTGGGCACGTTTTGTGGTGACGAATTAGTTTGGCAATTTGTGTTTGTGCTTGCGGGCAGAATCAAAAAAGGGTTCTGGCGATGTGCACTGGTAAGTGCGTGTTGAAATAGGATGTTGTTTCCATTCCTCTTTGCGCCGCAGCTTCAGGGGTAGACCGGTAATGGGATTTTGGGGTTGGTAGTTCAGGTGAAAAGACCTGTGTAGTAGCCCCTTGTCACTGCAGTTGCTTTGTGGCAATGCCGTCAGGCGCAGACATTTTGTGTGTGCATCGGCGTGCAGGACATAAGAAACAAAAATTAGAGTGATGCCCTTCCAGGTCATGCCTGGGTGGCTGCGGTTGCAGTTTTGGTGGCTACAGACTCATCAATGGTGTGGGCAGGCGCGGTTTAGTCATGAATCCATAATTCCAGATTTGGAGTATGTTTGCCATTTTTCGGTGTTTTTGTATTGAGTGAAGGCAAAGACACGCACGCCTACAAGATGGGAGAAGATGTGGTAGTGTGGACTGACAAGGTTGGTCCTTACAACAACCCACAGGACCAAATGCTTTCATGTGTTTTCTTTTGAATTCATTTTCTTGTTGCATGGCGTTGCAAATTGTTTTTTGGAATCAGGAGACGTACGAATATAGCACACTTGGCCTGTGTGAGCTAGAAGGTCAATTTCTCAGGAAAACATGTTATCCAGTTATCCAGGTTTTTTGACACATGCTGGTTTGGATCCATGAATGACTAGAGTCATGTCAAGATGAATCCAAACATTTCTTAGTTCAAACGCGTCATTGTTCAAACACAAGATCCGTCCCTAGGCGACGACATTGCAGTAGAGCAAGGAGAGTGTTGCCCTCAGAGAAAGGCCAAATTTCGACTTATTTTAGATGAACTATGATGCAACCGCAGAAAATTCCTGTCCCTGTGGCACGAACAATGATGCCTGGCCTTGCCGTTTGTTGTTGTCATTATTCATTGTCCTTTTTGTTGTTGCAGGCTTTCGATCGGTGAGACGCTTGAAGGGCATGCCTTCTTCTCATCGCCAAGGTTTGCGAGAATCAGATGATATACTTCGCGTCGCAGTTCAGTAGTCAAACTGGTACGTCACCCCGAAATTCAAGTAGCAATATCATGCAGGTTTGTTCGCAGGTTCTTATTTTGAATTTGTCAAAAATATCTTTTGTCTCCGTGATGGAGGCTGGACATCCATTTCGGTCAAAACAAACCGCAGACGCCGCTCTGCAACATGAGATTGAAAGACGAGCAAGCCAAGGCCTTGGCATGGTCAAATATATCAGTGAAATTGAAATCCGTGTCGCAGATGTCGCCACGTTAGAGTGCGACAGGTGCATGTTTATGTTAAAATTAAGAATTGTGTGTGTGTGTGCGCATGTTTATGTATTTGTGTCCCATTTTAGTTCCTCAATCGGATTCAAATGGATTCTGATTATTTTTCTATAAATGGCACTTTTGGGATGTGCAGAGCTCCAGCTATTCATTGAAGCGTGCAACATTTTGTCACTGTATTTGTCACATTTTCTGACGATGTTTGCCATGGATCTGCATTGTGAGAAACAACACAATCTGATAAGTGATCGTTTTTGAATGATTTTGATAAGTGGGGAGGCTCTGGCTACAATGATCAACGACAACTACTGGTGCGAATCCCCGCTGTGAGAGCAAAATTGCGATGATTTCATCACTAGTTGTGGTATGTTGCTGTGCTGGCGATTCCGACCAGGTATCAGCTCTACATAGATGACTTGCCCATTTGGGCGTTTGTTGGGGAGCACTCCAAGTTTGCTGTAGACGTCAGCCATGAGCTAAATGACTTGCTGACTTGCACACTCAGTATGCCGCTGCTTGCCTTGCAAAGCTCGGTGCATTCAGCCGCGCAGCTTTGAGGTAGATTTTCCATGATGTACCGAGACAACAACAAGTCTCTTCAGATGCCGTCTGGGTCGGCACCGCCCGTTCCAAAGCAGCTCAAGGCAGGAAGACAGAAAGAGAAAGGACCGGAAAGAAGAGGGAAGACTGGGAAGACTGGGAAGACTGGGAAGACTGACTGGAAATAATGCAGTGCCTGCTTGTTCAGACAAGTGAAACCGTGTCGGAAACGCCCGCCAAGGGCAAACCTCTTCCCAGAATCTACACGCACCGGCACTTCACCCTCTTCTACAACAATGATCAAATTATTGAGGTCGCTTGCGGATCACTTGTCCTGCTGGCGTTTTGTTGCTCTTTGCGTTCTGCATTATTGTATATATATATACATATAACTATATATTTATTATATTGTATTGTATTGACAAGTATTGACATGTACTGACCATACCGTACGTTACCTCTGTCGGTTCTTTCTGCAGCTTTCCTCATTGACATTTTACTTCCTGGATCTTCCTGGTGTGACCTGCAAGGTAGACATGGAGCCGTCGAGTCCGTGGCCAATCTACGCGGGAGCTCCATTGAATTTCTCGTACACAGTTCTTTGGTTCCCCACCAACAAAGAATTCAAGGCAAGGAACTCAGTGACAGAACCAAAAGTCCAGAGGATGTGAAGGATTATGTGGCATTTTTCCTGCTGCAGGACAGGACAAATCGATATTTGGATCCGAAATTCTTTGAGCACAAGGCTCTGTGCGCTGCCTCTGGCCTGTCTCGAGCATCTCAGAGTGTAAAGCAATCTA